GAGCCGCTACCCGTTCCGTTTCCATGCTTCCCGTGTGAGAGACCTTTTGTCACGATCTCTAGTTCGCCGCGCAATCCAAGGCCCAGATCAATGGGTTCGATCCTGTCGATTGCGTATGGCGAGCCCATAATTTCCTCCATCCACTCATGATGTTGTATGTACCGGGTCGTTGCAATCTCGCGCGGGGTGAGGTGGTCAAGCATGTCGCCGCGTGACGTGTCCTCCTCCTCATCGATTGTCATCGAGGGGTCAACGCCTAGCGCTGCCGCCTGGGCTGCCGCTGCGGCAGGGTTGTGACCGCCGGGGGGAGTAGGCTTCAATCGCTTTGCTGATGGAGGGGCACCACCGGGGGGTTTGGCATTAGCGCGTACGGGTGTGTAGTATACCTGCTGAGCTGATTGCGGAGGCTGCGGGGTCGCGCGGGTGTTCATTGGGGAGATTTGTCGATTGTGTTGAGGGGTTTGGATTTGCATCGTCGCCTGTTGCTGAGCCTGCATTTGGATCTGCTGTTGCTGTTGTTGTTGAGGGTGTTGTTGCTGTTGTTGCTGGTTGGGCAGTGTGATCATGGGCCAAGAATTCCGGTCGGGCAAGTAGAACTCCTTTCGCGGGAGTTGGCCCGTTTGGAAAAGTTGGGTGATGTAGTTTCGTGCCGTGAAGCTCTGACGAATACTGCCTGTCAAGGGCACCGTGTTGATGGGGACGTGATTTTGACGCTCTGCTTGGATGTAGTGTAGGAACCAGAGGTTCGCGTTTTCTGGGGGAGTCGATGGATGGCCCGGTTTTAGGCGGTATCTGCGCCGAGAAAATACGGCGTGCGACTGGTTGGGTGCGCTCGGGTTGTAACCGGCTTTGTGGTAGTGGATCTCAATTTGCTATTAAGGCCTCCCCGTTACGTTAGCAGATTCCTTTATTTATTTATTTTGGTGGTGGTGGCCCTCAAAAAAACTTCACTCTAGGGACGAGACTTGTGGAATCGTTCGTGTAATACCAACAACGAAAAATGACCAGGAGAAAGGGGCAAGGAAGAAAAAGGAAAGACCGCAAGCGGGATCATAGCAATCACAACGAATGCGCAAGCTGCATCGCATTTATCGACCGTACGTAGCGGGGAATATCCTTCACGAGACGGTCAAAACGATTGGACAGAGGTGGGGGGGTGCAAAAATGAAAAAACGAGAAGGTCGGGTATTTATCGCGGATCGTAGCATGGAGCCACGAGGAACACGATGTAACAGGGCCAATAATGTAACGCAGCAGGAAGCCTCATACCGGGGGGCGTTCAATATGTTGTGTGCGGATTTCCAGGTAATACCGGTACACACATATAAAGAGGCTACAAAGAGGGCCACCTCTAATGGAGCTATGGAGGGAAAGAAGGGGGGGGGAGGAAAACGAACATATCCTTTCACTTCAACAATATGAGCTACCTCAGCATCCGCCCACACATAACCGTCGGAAGCGCAGACGCCGACCATCTGGGGTGGGTTCCATGAAAGCATAAGGGTGCCTGGCTGTGGCGGGTCGATCATCGTCCAGGTAAAGGGATGCTGCTGAGCGACTTGGGGAGTCTTCAAAAGCAAGTCGACCAGGAGTTCAGGCTGTACTGTTTGGTGCTGAGAATATTTCATTATACATAACGCGTGCAGATGGTGCAGGAGCTGGGGCGACACAGACGATGAAGGGTCCGCCATATTGAAACACTATCCAAGTGAGATAACTATGTTGCGATGGATGGTTGTTTGAGCAGATATGGTGTTCTGGGTCGGAGGTGTCGCGAGCAAGAGTTCAGTGAGGCTGCTACCGTGGTGAGGTTGGTGCGTATGTGAAAGGGAAAACTGTGGCTAACCCTAGGATCACCACACTGTCTGCGCTGACTGTTCTGGGATTGGAAGCCACACATTTATTTGAAATTTTTTGGGTCCAGTTTTCATCGTTTCCGTATGACGAGGCATAAATCAGTAGATATTTCCTCCACAAGATGCAGAACTGCTTTCCTCCCAGCTTTGCTTTTTTGCTCTATTATTTTGACAGGGGATCACTTTTCCCGAATCCAGATAAAGTTAAGGTCAGGGTTAGGGATCGTGCCCACTGCCCATTACAGGGAAACTAAAATGCGCCTCATTGAATGGCTTCCCGGGATATGACACTGGTATGTTTTTTTTCTTTTCTTTTCTTTTCTTCCGAATAAAGCATGCATGGTGCTCCGCAGTACGGTGTTTAGCAGTTGCAAATGGTCTACTATACGAGATGATATGATACCGCGATACCTTTTACGATGTTGCCTTGCCCTAATAGGTCCTGCTTCGCGTTATCGTGGGGTACGCTTTGCTGTATCATGTACCCACTGTGGAATCGTGTGGATAGTAAGAAGAACTTGCGGTGCACTGCCTGGTGTCTCGGATGGTCGGACCGAACTAGGTAACTTATCCTGGGGAAAAAAGGTCCCCATTCTGGGTGCAAGATGGGTGCAGGCCAGATTATTTGCCAGATTAGGAGATAAATTCATGTGGGAGCGTGAATTGGTTAAGGTTATCTGATGGCTTGAAGACGGCGACCACCACCCTACCGCTGGGCATGCAGGTCTGGCCCATGGTCTAGCCCATGGATTACTACTCGATTACAGGTATGATACCCCCTTCCCCATACCTGAGTGTGCAAGAAACCCCACGCTGAACTGTTAGGGAACATTACTCGAGCAGCGGATCCACACACATACCGGTATTCGAGTGGAGATGGTCATTGTTGTACTGTACAGTACGAGTACTGTGCTCGAGTGCTGAGGCATACCGGTAACTCTATTAAGACGGTCTGCGGTGATTGTGTTGGGCGCTGGATGGTATTAATTAGTGCCGGTGTGTCCGGATATGGCCAAGCACCCGAGTACCGGTCTCGTTGCAACAGACATGGGGCTTGTTTATGATAGTTGAGCCTCATACTCAAGTCGGACTCTCTCAACACAGACCTTTGTGATACCGGTATTGAAGTATGATATGAGGGAGGGATTCCCTCTGCGGTTCCCTATGCTCCGGCTCCCTGATTCGCTTTACTTGCGATACCGCTATTTCACACGAGGAGAGGGCAATTAAATTCCTTTTTAGGAATTGTTTTCATGACGTGGTGGATCTGAAATTATCTTTAGATACGGTACCGAACATGACACAGTACTGTACCGGTAGTGGAACGTTCCCCATCTACCCCCCAAAAAACTGGGACAAAAATGTTCGTGTTGAGAGCACGCACTTGAGATTATTAATATGTGGGGCTGGGGAACGCTCGAGTTGCTATGATTTATTTACCGTATACAATTGCAGTTTCCGGACTTGCAATCCCGAAGGCAGTGGGTGGGTGATGCCGCATGTTGGACAAAGGTTTCGATGTTGTTTGATAATCCTGTTTTCACCATCATACTCGAGTACCGGTAGACTATACTCGAGTAGGTGCAAACCGCAGTGCCGTGCTCTTCGTTGTGGGCTCCCCACTTGCTCTGCCGGTTACGGGCACTTTTCGTAGTTTGCGATGGCTATTAGTGTTTGCTAACCAGAACTACTCAGATGGCGTGCTCCAATTTTGTTGTTTTTTTTTTACCCCCTCCCCTTTTTACGAGGTACCCCACGCTCCTGTGAGGCTTCACTACTTTATATTTCTCCCATTTCCCTCCCCATCTCTCTTCCGTCCTTCACTCCTCAGTCTGCCCCACCACAAGTTTCTTTGATATCGCTTTATTCAATTCAACCCCAGATACTGTACTGCTAAAGAGACCCTCCACATATACACCGCAATCACAAGTAAAACAATGTCACGCTTTGAGACACTCTGCTTGCATGCTGGGTAGGCATCCCCTGCTCTATCTTTGTTCGTTTTTGCAGCTCTTTGAGTGTGTCAAAGGAGTGGGGTTTGTCGCTCACGTGAAATCATTTTGTAGCCAAGAGCCTGATTCTGCCACCAACGCCCGTGCGGTGCCCATCTATGCCTCTACCGTACGTTCCCTGCTGCACGTCGAGCTGCGAGATGGATCAGGGCTCAGCTAACTCCTTTGAATGAGATAGTCTTTCGTCTTCAATGATTCCGCTCATGGTGCACGTCTTTTCGGGCTCAAGGAGTTTGGTGAGCCGTCCGCCATTTACGCTTTACACCAAACAATTTGCTGACCCTCTATGGCATCACAGGCAACATCTACAGCCGTATCATGAACGTAACTCGAACCGCTCTTCTGAATGTTTTTTCGGGATGTTGCTCACGGGGTTCCCACTTTAGCCTACTGTCGACGTCTTTGAGAAGCGTATTGCGGCACTTGAGGGGGGTGTAGCTGCTGTTGCTGCTAGCTCCGGCCAATCTGCTCAATTCATGGCCATTGCGGCGCTGGCGCATGCCGGCGACAACATTGTCTCAACCTCCTACCTCTACGGAGGAACGTACAACCAATTCAAGGTCTTCCTCCCTCGCTTGGGTATTCACACCAAATTCGTGAACGGGGACAAGCCTGAGGATATTGTCGCTGCGATCGACGACAAGACCAAGGCAGTGTACATTGAAAGTATTGGAAACCCGAGGTATAATGTCCCGGACTTTGAGGCCATTGCCAAGGTTGCCCACGATAAAGGAGTTCCGTTGGTCGTTGATAACACATTCGGAGCTGGAGGTTACTTGGTCAGACCCATCGAACACGGTACTTCATTCCTACGCATGGTTTGTCACTCGGGGCCCGGACTAACCACCTGCAGGTGCTGATATCATTGTGAACTCGGCAACAAAATGGATCGGCGGCCACGGAACGACAATCGCAGGAGTGGTCGTCGATAGTGGTAAATTTGACTGGGGAAAGAATGCCGCACGATTCCCCCAATTCGTCGATCCGTCAGAAGGTTACCACGGACTGAAGTTCTGGGAAACCTTTGGACCAATTAGCTTCGCCATCCGTGTCCGTGTTGAAATTCTCCGTGACCTCGGTTCCTGCTTGAACCCGTTCGGTGCGTTCCAGTTGATCCAGGGTCTCGAGACCCTGAGTCTGCGTGTTGAGCGCCATGTTAGCAACACGCTTGCGCTCGCGCGCTGGCTGGAGAAGCACGAGAGGGTCGCGTGGGTCTCTTACCCGGGACTCGAATCCCATCCATCACACGAGATGGCTAAGAAGTACCTCAAGCGCGGGTTCGGCGGAGTGCTATCTTTCGGCTTGAAGGGTGGAGAAGATCGAATCGTATCCATGGTGGACAGCCTGAAGCTAGCTTCCAATCTAGCTAACGTTGGTGACGCAAAGTAAGTCAACCTAACCCAGCCACCCCAATTCCCGATTTCATCCCAACCACCTCCCCCCACACGAACCTTCTTATCCTGTTATTTCGGGTTGTAGATCGAAGCGAGGAGCCAGAGAGAATTTGGGGGGAAATACCCCGCTAACGGGATTATTCTGCACAGGACCCTAGTCATTCACCCCGCATCAACTACCCACGAACAGCTCACCGATGAAGAACAACTCAAAAGTGGAGTCACAAAGGACCTCATCCGAGTTTCCGTAGGTATCGAGCACATCGATGACATCGTCGAAGATTTTATTCAAGCCTTTGAGAAGAGCTTTGCAAAATCTAACGGTGCAAGCACCGCGAACGGAAACGTTGCGGGAAGCGCGGCGGAGGGCATTGCAAAGCTGGGAGTCTAGGCCTTATTATTCTTAATAGTTTTCCCACAACCTTTGTACGGACGAGAAGGTGGTTAGTGGACGTTTGTGTTTTTCTCTTTCTCTTTTCTTTCTACTTTAATCTTTTTATTCCTCTCAGAATTGAATACCGAATTCGTGCCGCGTTTCCCTCTTGTTTTCCCCGCACTTTCAACTTTAAATGATGTTCGTTTGCAATGTTATGATTGGCTTCCGGTTTCGCGTACTCCATTTTTTATTCCCTATTGATACATGTGCGGGTATAATCGCGTAACTTGTACCGTCCTGTCTCGTCGAGTCCAGTTCTGTTTGGGGCAGTCAGTGCGTGGTCCGAGATATCAAGCGATCGATGCATGTACAGTACAGTACGAGTACTTATCTAGGTTCTTATATGATGCCTGCACAGTTCCCATAAACGAGAGCACAGCCAACGATCAAATAAATTTATGCTAGGAAAAATGGGGATCGCGAAGCCGTAGAATAACACTTACTCGTATCGGTATTGATGATACTCGGGGTGTACTATACCAAAATTGGAAGAAGAAAAGGTAAGAGTAGAGTCAAGAGGGGGGAAAAGGATCTACTTCCGACATCGAGGATCACTGCGCGAAAGGGCTGCAGGATTAAGATCGCTACTACCCAA